TAAGAAATCTAGAGAATAGTTCAGCTATAGCACTACATGCAGTTACACACAACCATACAATAGGATGGGATAGGATGACAGTTTTAAAATCTAATGTAACAGAGTGGATGGGGAGATTGATAACAGAAGCTTTGTTTATCGAATCAACTGCAAACACGTGTAATAGGAATGATTCAATGCCTGTCCAGCCTGGCATCTGGAAAAGTTACTACTATAAAACTCAAGTTTCCAAGTTGTGTGGTTATAATTGATACAACTGTATTCGAAACCACGTCATCCAGGAAAGTGAGTTGTTATTGTATTGTATATTTGTGGAAATGTACTTTTTCACATCAATATTCTAATTCATAAAAATTCTTTATTCAAACCTAATTTTAAAAGTTCATTGTCTTAAATTTTATAGTTAGAATTGTTTTAAAATAAAGAATAACTGAAAGTTTTAAAATTTGTCATTAATTACCGAGAAAGAAAAAAGATAACACAGGAAATATTTGTCAACGACATATTTTATTTTTCATTGTTTTTACAAAAAAAGTATCCACATCAAAACGATACGCCTACTTAAGATTACCAAACAATAACCACTTGCATATCTTTCTATAGTTGCCTATTATTTTCAATAGTGTATCCCCTTTATTTTTAAAAATTATTTCATAATTTATAGTCGGAGTATTCAGGGAGTGAATAACTTTGAATTAGCAAACATCCACTGATTTAATGAGTGATAATCAAGAGGTAAAGTTAAATAATAAAGGTTTGCGTTTGCTTTGAATTCTGTCACAACAGAGATTTTCATTTTACATTTAAATCACTACACATTATTTCATAATTTTACTTTTAAGTAAAGATTGTAGGCGATAGTATATTGTTTTGTAAAATAATTTTCACTACAGTATGTAATATCGGTAGCCCAAATTTATCAGGCCGACTATTGATATCAAGTGTGCATCGGCCGGGGTTCGAACCTCGGACCATGAGTATGGTCGGCAAGCCTCCTAGCCGAACTACCGCCGACGCACCTTGATCACCTATGTCTTCTTTGCGTTAACTCGTATTCCCTCCTGTCTCTTCCGCAAACCTCTTGGTTTTTGCTTGTAAATCTTTGCTATAGTTTGGTTTGTAAGGATTAGTTATGTTTTACGAGTTGATCACGGATTGATATCAGTTAGAGAACCATTGAAAACCAGGGAGTACTGGACAGCTGCTGTTTCATCCTAGTTTGAGAATCATCGGAAGTACGCACCCACTACCAGAGTTCGAACCCAGGACCTTCCGGCTACAAGGCAAGCTGGCTCGTATACCATTCAGCCACTGGGACCCGATTCAATGGCCACTCCATGAATTCCAACTTCTACCAATTCGTGATTTTAGCGCGACCCCAACCAATGCTTGTTGCTGTTTCATCCTACACTAGGATGAAACAGCAGCTGTCCAGTACTCCTTGGTTTTCAATAGTTCTCTAACTGATATCAGTACGTGATCAACTTGTAAATCTTTGAATTTGTACAAAATGAAACACAAATCATATGAGAAATCTATATCGTCTAGAATCCTTTTATGAGAAGTGATAATTTAATGAGAACAGTTGTGGTTTCAATAAATCCTTCTTCAGGTTCTACAATTTAAGTAATTTAAGTATACAATAGCTAGGAAAGGCAAATTAGAATCATATCAGAAAGTGTATTGTGGAACAAGTATAAGATGGGATGGAACAGTAATCAGTTAATTGGTCTTTAATATGCACGGTCCCTTGTTGCATTAACAAACGACTTTATGACCTTTCTTAGGATTTCTATTACATTAAGCTTAAGTAAAGCTTTTCTGATTTGTTATGATATTTACAAAATCCTATTCATTTCACTTCACTAAATCCACTATTAATTGATAATCATTCACTAATAGTACTTTTGAGTTTACACTACATCTTCGTTATTATTGTCGTTATTTTCACCTTTGAACTTACGTCTAGTCTTTCCAATTTGTTGGTTTTTTTTTCTGTAGTATTCATATTGTCTCTCACACCACTGATTATACTCACCCTTGAAACACGTACTTTTCCACTATACATATAATATATATTATTATTATTCCCTTGGGTTCCTAGTGGAACATAGGGCTTCAACTGCACGCCTCCACTTGCTTCTGTCTTCTGCTGTACTTTTCACTTGCATCCATGTTAATCCATAATGTTATATATATATATATGTATATATATCACTGAACTATTTCATCTCATTTTATCTCATGTGCTCATTGACCATCCATGTTCAAAACTAACTGGTTATTGTTCCATCCCATCTCATACTTGTTCACTACACACCTGATATGATTCTAATTTGACTTTACTGGCTATAGTATACTTAAATTAGTGTATTTATAACTATAGCGACTAAAGAAGAATTTATTGGAAACAGTTTTTCGCTCTAACTATTCATGGTTGGGAAAAGGCCAAATAAAATCTATAAGAAGTTCTGTTTTGACTCATTTGATTAATGATAGCGGTCAACAAGTGGGCGGAAGCAGTGCCTTTAAAGTTATCTATAACAATCGATTGAACCTTTCGAACGGAATTCGAACCCGTCTTTTGCGCATAGCAGAAGCTATGGAAATTGATTCGAGAGAACAACCCTAATCTTTGCGTACAAAAGAAGTTTGTTCTACCTTTGTCTCTCACCTGGCCTAGGTAAATTCTAATCAAAACCCTCCCACTCTTCCTTATTTTCCATTTCCTTCGTACTTTTATGCTATTTATTTAAACTCTGATTATCTGTCCACTTCACCTTTAGTATTACATAACGTTTAAGGCTTGACCTAATTTATTTATTGAATTGTCTACGTATACACATATTACTACTACCTTCGTTATTCTTATCGCCAAGTGCATAAACTTTATTTTTATCATTATTTTATCATTATAATCATCGTTGTTACCGACGTTCAAAACATTATTATTTGATCCACTCATCATCACTGGTCAAAATTTCTACCTATAAATCTATGTAAATTAGAGTAAAGCCTGAAGAAAATCTAACTGAAAACAATATTGTTCGCTTTTATGTCTGGTTTTAACTATATTTTGTTCTGAATTAAGTATGGAAATATTCAAGTTACAGAAAAAACATCCTAGGAATGAAATATTATCATAATCGTTTGGTTAATATAATCACTATAAAGTGATTAAGTTTAATACTGGAAGCTTAAATTTGTTTGATAGTTTGCCTACATTCTCTTTGCCACAATTCACCTGGAATTAAGTGATCGAATAAAAAATTTATAACGCACATCTTAAATTCTCTTTAATTTCTCTTCGGTTTCTTATTTTCAGAGATAATGTTGTGAATAAATTAAATAAACATTTATTCTGCTGACCGACGTCTGTTAACTTTAACCCTGGTGGGTGAGTGCTGCTAAAGAGTCCCAGATTAGGACGAAACAGCTATCCAGTACTCTCAGGTTTTCCAGTGGTTCTCTAACCAATATCAGCTCATGATGAAGTCCTGAAACCAATCAAATCCCTTCAAATCAACACTTAAACATCCGAGATTATTTATAAGGTGAATAGAAGTCTGCTAAAAGGGACAGGCCGTCATAATTTTTGTATAACTGCACCACTAGCCATCCACATAGCAAAACCGGTTCTAAGCGTACAAAAAGAAACTACTTCGACCACTTATTCTCTCTTGGATTCAATTTTAGATTTAATTCTGTTTATTAGTTTTTTGCTTAGTAGAAGTTATTATTATTTATATTTTATTCCTTTACGTTCCCAGTGAAACAAAGGGCTTCAAGGTGGAGATTTGAAATTTCGGTAGCGGTGGTGTTTATTTTCATGGGATGGGGTTGCTAGTCTCATGCACAACTTTCCCTCTTTACAAGTCTTATTACTGGCCTAGAGAGTTAAGGAAGTGCATCGGCCGGGGATCGAATCCCGAACAACATGCGTGGTAGGCGAGCATTCTACTGATGTGCCGTCGACGCAGTAGTAGAAGGTATTACTCTTAGGTAATATCTACAAATCTTCCTTCTACTGATTTTACAGAATATATTATTTATTATATACTAAATCACTAATATAAACTTATTCATTTTCATGACTTTCTTGTTAAACACCGATCATGATACATCCATAGGCTTAAGTTTGTTGTCCCTAATTCCTCTGACAAATACGTATCACCTTAACATCATTTTTTCATTGTTACATTAAAGTTACCCTGTAAATATTAGAATTGATCAGTAGTTTTCACCAGCATTTCTTAATTTTATAACCATGCCTAATTTAGGATGGCTTTATTTCCGGTGAAAAGAACCTGACTTAGGAGGTATTGTTTGGATTTTTTTAAAACTTTTTAAGTATTACTTATTCGTGAAACCGTTGGACAGAAAACTCAGGGTTTAACTTTTATCTGGTTAGTTGCTGTTTATTGTGGCTCGTTAAATCTATCTTCCGGAGGAGTATGGCTTGAAATCTACGAAATCAACCAACAGCTGATTAGTGTAACGAAGCCTCCAAGTTATGGTAAAATTTTTTATTGAAAGTGTAATACATCCACTTTTAGAAACTGAAGAAAACTACCAACTTCTTAACATTTACCCTTCTGCCGTATTGGTGTATTTTCTAAAATCTATTGTAAAAAAATTTTATTTGTAAGAAATAGTTTAAAATGAAAGAGAGAAATTGTGAATTGACAGGAGTTAGAATTCATAAGACATTGGATTCCATTTCACTGGCTGAATGGTCAACGGCCATACCTCACAACCTGAAAGCCCTTGGTTCGATCCACTGGGGGAGACGCCGATCATGAGTAGGCGCTGACGAAGAACCCCAAACAAGGACGAAACAACTGTCCAGTACTCCCTAGTTTTCACTGGTCCTCTGACTGTTGTCAATCCGTGGTCAAGCTTTAGAGAAAGTACCTACTGACACATATTTTATACGTGGAAAATGAAAACAAAAATCTGATTTTTATCTCCTAATACTACAAACTCTTATTTTAACTAACCTTATTGTCTTGAGATAAAGATAAGTTTGTCGGCCTGATAACATTTCCATCGGTAAATTCCTCCCGAAATGAAGTTTGTGTAGCATCATCGATACATACTGATACTGTCGAATTGTTTGGTAGAATAGTTTGAAGATGACGTATTGCCTTTTCCTGATTCTTTTTCTTTTTCTCATTTTGTTTTTCTAAATAGGAATGTGAACATTTTAATGTGAGCAGGGAGCGGGGAGAGGAAAAGAATTTTATTTTTATTTAAAAATTAAAACAATCAGTTCTCACACTAAAAGATGTTGTGCAAAGTCTGCCTCCTGTGAACTCTGTGTTATACGTCTTGAATAGGACAGATATTTATTGCATATAAATGTAACATATTAATTTGACCATTTGTCGAGCAATATCTTGTGTAATTCCCATTTTTTCTGTGGTGTCATTTTTAAAGTGTTACACTGGTCGATTAATTTCTATCAGATAAATTGAAAAGTGTTAGGACTTTTTCTTTACTGTAACTTGACACTATGAACATAATAGATTGTATGCAAATAAAAAGAGATGAGAAATCGAGACGAATTTTCGTTACACCATGATAATGTTTGTTCTTTTACCTCTCAAGTCTATGAAGAAGAATATAGGAATGAGAGTTTCAGTTTATTGAAGAGAGGAAGGAAGACGAGAAAGAATCAAAGACTTTTTCCACTTAAAGCGATTAACACATAATACAAATCAGCAAAGTGATCTTAAATATCTCATAATTTTAGATGAATCAAGAATAATAATGAGAAAAATAATAGTAATAATAAAATGATAATAATAATAAGAGGTAGAATTATAAGTAAAACGTATTACCATGGTAGATTCAGAGTCACGACCATCTCCTTTTGTACACAGAGACCTAGTTTGTAAACTCGAATTCCACAAGCCTCTGCAATTGTAAGCATCTTCTTGTTTCTTTGTCTGCTGACAATGGTGAATGACTTGACCGCGTCGATATCATGCCCGTAATCCACAAGACGCTTCGTTATTGGAGATTTTGGCACTTTGAACTCAGCTGTTTTCAACCATTTCGGCAAATGCTCCATCATGCGAGTAGACAATCTCCTTTCCGTACGACGTATGTATTTGCTTCCACAAACACACTCAAAATGATATACGCAGTCTGATTGAAGTGTCGAGCATTGGCGACTGGTCTTTCCCAGATTGTTGAAGCACTCGCTTAGTGGTGTTAAGGAAAACAAGTTTTGCAGCATAATAAGTTCTCTTGATGGCTTTGTCGAGTCTTCGTTTGACTACTTCCTGTACATCATCTCTTTTGAACGGCAAGTTGATATAGACAGGTTTCTTCGAAACTGTTTGGATTGTTTTGCAGCGGGTGTTTTCTTTAGAGTATTTATTAATGAACTTCTCAGGTTATCCATTCTTAGATAAGATATCCTTCAGGGATTTTATTTCATACTCAATAGTACTGTCAGAACAAATTTTTCGTGCTCTATTGAATAGTGTTCTGACTAAGTTCTTTTTATACTGGATTGGAACAAAACTCTTGAAATGCATGTACTGTCCTGTCCATGAGGACTTCCTAAATATAGATCTTTCGATTGTGCCATCATTCATTTTCGACAGAAAAACGTCTAGGAATTTAATAGTATCATTTTTCTCGTGTTCTACTGTGAAATTGAGATTTGGATGACATGAGTTGAATTTTATCAGCATGTCTTCGGCTTTTGATCTGCTTCCACAGGCAATAAAAATGTCATCAACATTTCTTAGGTATAGATCCGTTTCTTGTATATGTTGTTGCAGGGTACTGGTTTCTAGGCGTGACAAGAATAAGTCAGCGAAAAGTGGTCCCAAAGGGCTTCCCATTGCGACACCATCAACTTGACGGAATAAACGCCCGTCGAATTGGAATTGGACATTTTTAGTACATAGAAGTAGCAATTTCCTCAATTCCGACATTGGAATGGGTATGTCTTCAGCTTCTTTACATATGAAGTCTATAGTCTCAATGACTGGCACATTTGTGAAGAGGGAGGTAACATCGAAAGAGACTAAATGTTTATCAGATACGTTGAAATCTTTGATTTGCTCGACAAACTGGAATGAATCAGAAACTATATACTTCCCGAAGCGTTTCCGCAGGGGCTGCAACAGTTCACACAACCACTGTGCTAATTTGTGGTATGGTGAGTTTATCATCGAGAGCATGGGTCTTAATGGCGCTCTTGGTTTGTGTATTTTAACACGCCCGTATAGTTTTGGGATTTGTGACCCAATCGGCTTGATATTTCTATATGTGTTTTCATCAATGTATTTATTTTTGAATAGTTGGCGTAGCTGCTGTACAATTTTCTTTATTATTATTATTTTATTATTACTATTATTATTCTCATTATTATTATTATTCTTGATTCATTTAAAACTATCCTTTATCAGTAGCATTATCTTAACTCATCTCATAATTTACTAAATTGTAACAGGAGTGTTTGGTATGCATGCGGTTTTTAATCTTCAATCGACACTAAGTACACTCCACGGTGAATTTCCTTACCAATCGTCGTAGCTCGAAAAATTATAACAAAACAAGCAGAGTGGGAGATACGTTTTGTTATTATCAAAAGGCTGTTCAACAATGCAGCCTTATAACTCAACGGGAGACTGAACCTTGGACTTGCAGGTTTTGAAGCTATCACGTTTACTGCTCAGCCGCTTACCTGAGATTCAGTAGTTCACGATAGGTTAAGGATGTACACCAGTGAAGTGTTGCAAACTAGTACAAAACAACCATCTGCAGACCTAAGATTTTGGTTAATTCGATTTAACAGTTTGTGGAAAAATCTACCCTGCAATAAACCAAATATCTAAAAACTTAACTTCTGAAGAATAACTTTATGGACAAATATAGGAACGCCAGATAAAGTGTGCAGTCGAAATTTCATAACTTTGAAATCTCCCAATATTTGGAGAACATTTCGGCTTCATAACTCCGTAGTCTTTAACTAGTAATTGCTACTTACCTGAAAAGTAGTGCAACACTTTGCATTATCTTACTTACAATCATGGAATACAAAACTACTACAGATGTTTATTGTAAAGTACCTTCGATTAAACCTGACATTCTTAATGTAGAATTGCGACTGAAGTGACAAGTGTTTTTTATTCTTTTACTTCCCCAGTGGAACATAGGGCTTAAAGCTAGAGGCTTAAAGTTTCAATAGCAGTGGTATTTACTTTTACGGGATGAGGTTCCTAGCATCATGTACAACCTTCCCTCTTTACCAGTTTTATTACTGGCCTAGAGAGTTAAAGTAGTGCGTTGGCCGATGATCGAACCCCAGACCACATGAGTGATTGGCAAGAATTCTACCCCTGTGTCACCAACGCACTTAGTGCAAAGCGTGCATTGCCGGAAATATTGAAATCAAGACAATGACTTGTTAGGCGTCGTGTAACTTTGTTTCTGAAAACAATTAGTGGTGGTACCTTGAACAGATCAGTACGCAGAAAACCTACATGGAACGGTCAGTTGACGAACTTCTACAGTTGGGTACCAATTAGTCGCAAGCGAAACTTGATAATATCTTTGGCGACTAGAATCCGAAAAATCTGTAGTCCTGAATCAATAGAGGAAGAGATCGCCCTCTTAAGGAAGACACTGCTCGAGAATGGTTACCCACCCCGTTTTATAGACAAGCACATTAAGCCTAAGACGTACAAAGAACAACCCATTACAGTGCAGAAGAAGATGGTCTACATGAATGTACCCTTCAGAGGTGACCTTCTGGCTGACACCTTGAAGAAGAGGATATCTACTGCTCTCAGAAGGACATTCTTCGCTGCCACACTACGACTGACATTTTCCTCCCGGCCATTGTTCTTCAACTACTCTAAAGATAAACTATCGCATTTGACCACTTCCATGTGTATCTACCAATTCACCTGCTCTTGCGGAGCGAGGTATATAGGTCGTTCGAGGCGAGTTTTATCTAAAAGAGTTCAAGAAAACTATCCCGCCTGGCTACGGAAAGGTAACAACGGAGCAATAAGGAGCGCCATTATTGAGCATATACTCAACACTGGTCATTCGAGTTGCAAGGAGAAGTCGTTCAAAGTCATCTATAAAGTCAAAAGAAGCCTTCCAAAATCGACAAGCTTCCGTATACTTTGTATTGCTGAAGCCTTAGCGATTTGGATAGAAAAGCCTGATTTATGCACACAGAAGAAACTTCTCCACCCCCTCCTACTACCGTGGGTTTAATTTCAAGTTTATCTGTCATCAACATTTTGTTATCAAATTTTTTTGCAATCTTCGTATAATAATTTTTAGTAACTAACCCATTCAATCTTTTCACCTATTATCTAGTTTATTTTCATAATTGTCTCCAAACTCCTTCACTAGCATCTAATCTTTCTAAACATGTCTATATTACGTAACCCTACTCACATCTTACCAATCTTCACCCCACTTAGTTACAACTTTGATTATTAATCACACATTTTAATTTCTGTATTATTTTGATGATATAATCAACAACCCACTTTAACTGTTATTTTGATTTTGACAAACCTAATGTACACACACACACACAAAATAATTGTATATATTTGCGACTGTACAGCTACGTGAATGAATTCGCCGGAAAGAGACTCTTCGCTGAACTAATTTGTTCTTATTTAAATAATTAGTGCTTAAAACTGAAGTGATTTTCATGCAGGAAAAAAATAGTTATGTTTTATCTCATTCAATTAGTGCAGATCTACCGGGGTAATAACGACATATTATATGAGAAGTGATGATACTACCTAGTTGTCCATGGTAAAGTAGAGGAAGTGGGACTTGGAGCCATGATCCACTGTCTGAAAGCCGAGTGCATTAGCCAAAATCAAGTAAAACCTACGTGATCACACACCGGTCTCAATGCTGTCAATAAGATTTGATAATCCAAAATTGCTTTTAATCTCTTTTATATATAGTTCTCTGATACTGTTACGCGACAGTCCAAAGTGCCACCTTGTTTTATGACAGTCGAAGCAAGAAGAGGAAGTAAGAAATCGTGGAATCGTCAGATGGGACATTACAAACAATATACTGACTTCGAGTTATTGACAGTAATAATATTAAGGCATCCGTTTAAGTGACCCATTTGCAAAAAGTGAAGCTAGTTAATCGTCATTAGCCTTATCAACGGGAAATCACAAATGTGAATAGATATTGTAATACTTTAAAACGTTACCAAATTTTCAGCTATATAATTAGCTATTTGACTTTAAAGTCATTTAATTCAGTTCTAACTTAGACAAGGATTGTAAAAGAAGATAAGAGAACTGGGAACGAACTATATTTACTAGAGAAAAACGCATCATATTTATACATTTTTAACCATATTAAATTTCTGCTAGGTCAGCGGACAGTAAACTGTTCTAACTGGTTGTCGATTACCCCAAGGCTAAACAATGGGATGATAAGTTGTCCAATATAATTATTCCATTACCACAACGTAAACTAAATCTAGAATTGTGGAATAAACACTTCTATCATCTGCAGTCATTGACTTAAAATGCTGATTTCAATTTTTGACCGCTTCCTATCAGTCTGCATCTCTATAGTACACACCACAGGACTACTCAGTAATGGTGCAACTAACTCAGAGTGGAAAGAAATCAACACTTACATTTAATAGATGAAAAAACAATAGAAAGTCAGAAAACAAGCTACAAGAGTAGGATGAGACTTACTATGTCTTTTTTAAATACGCAAATCAGGTTATAAGTATTTGATAGCGATAGCGTTGTAGACTTCAAGAGGTTCGAGTTTGTCTGTTTATTTATTAACTTGAAAGAATTAAAAACATTTACCTAATGCCTTGTATCAGTCAGTTAACGTGTAACTGAACTTTCCTCAACGGAAAGCTGAGTGCAGCCTTTCAAATGAAGATAGGAGTAAGATAAGGCTTTTTAGTCTCACCTACGATCTTCCTGGTTGTCACAGAGCCGGTCATGCGACAGACAGTGAGGAGTGAGAAGAGATGCATATATTGGACTGACAAAAACATCCTATAAGGTCTGAGATTCGAGGACGATTTATATCTTGTACCACACAAACTCTTTGGCAGACAAGGCTTGCAAGGTAGGAAAAACTTCAGGTGAACACACTCCACCGATAACAACAAACACCAACAACCGTCGACAGGGGAAATGATGGGCACAATCATTTCATTTACAAGTAGCACAGATGGGTATATCGAAGCCAACCAGATAAAATCAAGGTTTGAATCCACAACTGTCGGCTCAAGAAGGGAGATCCCGATTTTTAACGCTAGTTTCATTCAAGCCAGAGCTCCTATATGGTCCAGAAATCTGGCGTCAGCGTCACCAAAAGTGTTCCCAATTGCTTGCTGCAAACTTTTACCAACAGCTGCCTCTATTGGATTGATACTGACTGACAGAATTTAGTCTGTAGCAACGCAAAGGACTAGACACATGGCAGTGCTTACTACCTAGTAACCAGTTAGCGTATCCATTAGAGTCCTGCATGAGATCATTAGAGAGCCCGAATAGCAGGATGGTAACGTCTCTCACTGCAGTGCCGATTGACACAGGTTTGCCTTGCTGAAAAATGCTAACAAGCATGAAACCCAGGTGCAGAGTTCCCTGCTAATCACCTCAAGCTATTTGACATTAATTTAAACTTTTGGCTACATATAAAAGGTCTTATAAATGACATACAAAGCCACTGAGGTAGCGATTATTTCATAACTGTGGTTCCCTCAAGCATTTTCAATGTAACGACTCTGGGGATTTTATATCCCTTCTGTTTTTTTCCTTTATCTTTAAGGATGAACTATACTTAGCATACTATCCTGTTAATTAAAGTGCAAAATAGTAAATAACTAGTTAAGCCCTTAATATATGCTTTAAATTCTAATATTAAAACAATAATAGGGATAATAATAAAGGTTGACATACTAATTTTTGGCTCCTTATTTGTCTTCTTTCCAAAGCATCCCTTTTTTGTCTTTTTCTCTTTTGTACTACTATCACTTAATGACGATTTATCTGAATAGATTATTGATACAGTGAAACAAGTTGATTGACTACTGTCATCAGATGTATAATCTGTCGAATTATGTGAATTCTGACTTTTATTTGTATTAAAGTCTAAAATCAAAAGGTAAAGCAGACAAAAGTACTGAAAATATAAGTAGTAGGTTAAAAAAATTATGAAATGCATTCTGGGTACATGTGATGCGTTGATGGCATAGCGTCAGAATGCTCGCCAACCACGCAGGTGGTTCGGGGTTCAATCCCCGGCCGATGTACTGCTTTACCTCTCCAATCCATTATTAAGACTGATACAGAGGGAAGGTTGTGCTTGAGGTTAGCAACCTCATCCCGCAAAATTAAATACCATTACTACCGGGACTTCAGGCCGCTAGGTTGAAGCCCCCATGTTTCACTTGGAACGTGAAGGAATAAAAAAGATTCTCAGTAAATATATGCATATACTTATATTACGTAAGGCACTGGAGTAATGCTAATTTGACTTAGATTTAAAGTGGAAATTTTTAAGGTTATGTTATTTTAAAGCATATGAGAGTGTGTGAGCAGTAAGACTGAGCCGACCGATTTGATACGATCTATTCCTTAACACAAAAACTTACCTTTGTACTTATCCATAGCATATCAATCTGTTAAACAGCCTAGTTGATGATTTCTTCGAAAAGAAAAGAAAAGTTGGCTTCATTTGCACAGTCGTTTTTTTTGGTATTCCTGAAAATCTTTGGTATACAGTTGGACTGATAAAGGATACTGAGAAACAGTATTCTGGATACTACTTATGATTCAAAGCTATTGTGGAATCAGTTAATGAAATAGCTTTGTGACATTAGATTTATTCATTTCAAAATGTGTTTGTTTTGTAGAAAATAAAAGACAATTCAATGAAGAAATGGCCAAATTAAACAATCATAGCCAAGCCCAAATTGATCTTGAACAACCAGTTAGAATTCAGATGCAAAATAGTCGCATAATCGTTAGAAAAATGTGCTAAGCTACATTACAAACATGACATTACACTGTATAATTGTCTCTGATGTGTTGTACGAATGTCTCCCAGTTACTCCAGGGATAATCCATAGAGAAATCATATCATGTGCGATGGATGTATTCATAGAGGTGACTGTAGATTATGGTCCTTCAGGATCTATTGATATTCCTGACACTGTTCTTTCACCTAAGCGGAACTCTAATCCCAGCCTTAACCTTAAATTCCAATCCTAACCTACACCCATAAAAAACTAAACCTACATGACAATGTCAACTTACAGAAAAAAGTACCCAGGGAATAAGTGGAATACTGTACCTGCCCTTGCGAAATCCATAAAGGTAGGCAAGATTTGACTTGGAATGACGTTTCTCAGCGTTCTACAAATCTGACTGACTCATGAAGGTCAGGGCTTTACAGACTCTGGCTATGATAATTTAACGTCACTGAAAAAACTTTTATTCATCGATGAAGTCATCTTAAATGGTATCAAAATCGTGCGTCGGTGGCATAGTGGTTAGGACTATCGCCGACCATGCACATGGTCTGGAGTTCGATCCCTTGACGATGCACACCTGATACCTATGGTCGGCCTGCAAAGTTTTGGCTACCGATATCATATGCTGAAAATTCCATACCTGTACCAAAAAATACAGTGTGGAATCAAGCTGTAATCAAAAAAAACAATAATACTAAAGAAATATGCAACAGTCAGAAATAGGGTGGTTTCTAAAGATAAAAAATTCTATAATAGTCAACGACACAATGGAATTTTAAAGGTGTGGAATTTGACAAGGTGAATATTGTTATTCAGTGGAAATCAAGTTATTTGAGTATTCACTTGACAAGTGTGAAGAAGTCGGGAAACAAGACTTAATACAACATACAAAAACAGCATATAAGGGTGGTAATACTGAGTTAAATTACTAAAAATGGAAGCAAGCGATTTGTAAAGAGTTTAAAACCATGATAGAATGCGAGAGTAGACAAACTTTTTCTGCACACAGAGTTCGCGAGGTATATTGACAAATCGCTGGAGTTCACGCCACACATATGAGCTGAAATTTAACACCCCTTGTATCATTCCACCTTACCATGTGGATGATTTTCAAAGATGACTCCAGTGGAACCGCTTGGCTTGAGTTCATTGGCGAGTCGAGCATTGAGCTAGTAATTGCCTTGCATTGTCCTCTTCATAAACATACAATGTAGTATTCAGAGATTCATTTGAAAAGTTTGCATTTTGTGTGACCAGTATAGCTAGCTTTATTAATAGTATAATTCTAAAATTATTCATCAAGGAAAATAGAACTATTCCTCACATAAATGCATAGGTATATACATGTATATGCATATATGCACATGAATTCATAGGACTCTAAATGTGTTCAACATATTCTTCCCAATAACAACTTGATGTTGGTCATTTTACTGTTGTATAATTTCTAATCCCCACTAGTCAAAGTAACAGCGTTACAAATATTCTTTAGTGAAGAATCATTATGATTTTCAAGTGTTGGTTTGTAGGGATTTGATTGGTTACAGGATTTTCATCATGAGCTGACCTGGGAGTACTGGACAGCTGTTTCGTCCTAGTTTGGGACTCTTCATCAGTACGCACCCACCGACGGGGTTCGAACCCAGGACCTTCTGGTTACAAAACGAGCTCGAATACCATTAAGCCACTGGGACCAGATTCAGTGGCCTATGAATTCTAACTTCTGCCAATTCACGACATAGCGCGACCCCTAGCCAATATCTTCGGCGAGTATTTGTCCTCACACCCGACCTGGTCACGATAATAATATGAAGATTCTTTACAAAGCGTAACTCGGTGAAACTGCTTGGCTATCAGCGCTGATATATATATGTATGCTGATTAGGTCTTCAATGTCTCCAATGTACTAAATTATGTACCTATCTATATGGTGTAGAATGGAGTTGAGTCAGTATTTTAAGTTTACGAAAATCCTCGGTTGACTGGTTCTATAGAATACAATTTAAACACGTTTTCATCATCTTTCGAAACAAATCCATTTGATCTTTTTTCTATTAAATAATTATTCTATAATTTTGCTACTACTTATAGATTCGTAGACTTGATTTTTTTAAGCAGTTATTAATAGCATCCAACCACTTTTAACCTCAGAAATATAAATAGCTTATTTCTGTATGTATCGCAGGTTTTTCTTAGTAGAAAGTGAAGTGAGTTTATTAAAAAAGAATTACTTTTCAACTGATTGTTCTTGTTTCTTGCTTAGTACACATAATTACTGGAATAAGTTTCATAAGAAACTATGATTGTTACTCAACTGGAATAAGTTTCACTTCCCATTCATTACATGAAATAGTAGGGATTATTTTTGGGATAATAGGATATTTTATGTTAAAAGAGAGAGATATATTGCAAACATTTGTTAGTAAAAAGGAATAAAATTCTCCATGTTCCCAATACATTTTAACCCTGAAATACATAAAATTCTAATTATCTTATATTGACACTAGATCAATTAAAAATTGTGTAGTGTTGATTTTTATAAGTCTCGTAAATATTTAGACTTCGGATCATCACACTACATCAGCCCAAAGGTATCAGCTGTTTCAAGTTTTCTTAGACGAGCACACTCTCTGATAACGGATGAGAAAGAAAAAGAGGAAGAAACATCAAACATTACTGAAACTCTCAAGCAAAACAACTACCCAACGAACTTCATCAACAGAATCAACACAGACATTAAGTATGGCCGAAAACGTATTCCGAAAACATGGACATCGACAGTTGTCATTCCATATAGAGCAGAGACGTCAGACGATATCAGAAGAGTACTCAGTAAGCTCGACATCAGAGTTTACTTCAAAACATCAGACACACTGTGAAACAACCTTGTCCATTTAAAGAACAAATCCCTAAAGATTCTCTGTCTAATTGTGTCTATGAAATAAAATGCTTGCTGGGAATGTGATGCGATATACATAGGACAAACATCGTGGGAAATCAAAATCAGAAGAAATGAGCACCGTAGAGCATCTGTTCCTCTACCGAGAAATCCAGCTGAACCAGAAAACCTTGAAAAATCATCAGCGATAGTTGGTCCACACGCTACGCAGTAGAATCAGGCAACAAATTTGATTTTGACAATATTGAAATAATCCAGAAAAATATCAGAAATCACAAAGAACGTCTAATATCAGAAGCACTTCTTATCAACTGGAATCCAGATTGTCTGAACTGAATGGGAATGATGGACCAAAACAGAATTTGACCTGGTTACAACACCTCTCTCCTCCAAGAAGTGACAAAATCAACACGAATATGATATGCAATTTCATTATGTAGACACATGCTGCTTTTGTATAATTTCATACACTTATCAAATCCAACAATCTATACCTGGTTTTGTTATCTTTTCTGTAGTTTGGTTTGTAAGGGTTGGTTATCTTTACCAACTGGTCAGTTTGACAAAGCTGATGAACGATGATTAGGTTGTTATACATAAGCTGAGAATTTGTAAATTCTGGTTTATTAATACTTTGATAAAGCTATTGGAGGCATTAAATAGCGAAACGTCAGTATAAACAAAATCGTTTTGTTTTTTCACTCATTGGGAAATACAAAAAACCTTTATTATAATGAATCTCATATATTATATACATTTTTCACTATACGTTACGATCAAGATAGCCAGGCTGTTTCATAAGTATGACAGATCTGAATGCTTTTTACCCTTACAAGAAAGCATGAAGTGTCATAACTATGGTATGTAATAATACACAACGTTCGCCTGCTTGAGTCCGTATGCAAATTAATACCTCGTTGTGTGTGTGTGTGAAGAGAGAGTACTGCTGCCTTATGTCTACCCTAATTACGAAGGCCTAAAGATTTTGAACTTTTGATAATGACAATAATAGCTTTATTCTGAACAACATATTTATATGCGGTACGAAACTTTCTACTTAGTTTTATCTACTCCTTATATGGGATCTTCATGTAAATACGTAATTAGGTAGCTCGGTGATTTAAGCTGATCTCTATTGCTTAGTGACAACGTGGTTGCGAGGTATGGTATATTAGTGAACTTCCGATGATGTAATTGCAGGTGTTTAAATGAACCCTATAGGTCAGTAACGCCTGACGTACAAAGAGCTTTGGTGCCTACGAAAAGGCAGTAAAGTATCGGTAGTATCCTACCTTAGCACTTTTTGTTGAATATATTGGATGTTACCTAGATTGTCGCTAAGGTTACAGACGACTTTGACTGTACAGTTAGAAGACGAACTAACTACCCTGGACCAAAAGCAGTAGATACCCTTGAAAACCAAAAGAAATTAACAAACGGCAAAATAAGCATACGTAGCTTAAAAGTATCAAAATGATTTGAACCCTATAAAGAGACATTTACGCAAATCTGGACTTAGTCAATAGTCCCATCCAGAAGTACTTCCAGTAAGTATTCTTCAAGTGACCATCAGAAACTGTTTATAATAGACATAAGATATTTTTGAGATAGATGTCAAGTGCTTTCAGGTACTTCAAAGACCTACCTTGAAATAAAACAGTCAATTGTTTATCGATCAACAGTCTGTATAACTTCAGTAATAGTTACGATGTAGTTGGTGTGTCAGTCTGTCTGTATGTTGTAGAGAAGATATTGTGTTTTTTCTAGTCATCATTCTCCTCAAGGGTAGATATCTCAAACAAATTCTGATTAAGTATTTCACTCTGAATAGAAACATTTTCTTTATTGGTACTATTTTTGTAGATTAAACTGACTAGGTATCTGACTTTAAAATTAACAGTTTCATTGAACACTGAAATACCACTATGCTTTGACTGATCACTAGGTAGTAACCCAAGTCATGCGTCTAGCCCTGTGGTGTAGTGCAGACTAAATTCTTTCAAAGTCAATCTAAACGAAGAATATTCTTTTCAATAATTTCTCTTTAGGTTCTTACAATTATAAAATATAATATTTGTTGTCGTTACAATAAAGACCAGTTATGCGGCAGATACATTTTTAACGTAGAATAACAGATTAGTTGTGGGGTGTGAAAAAAAATAGTCGTATTTGTGTGACAAACGTGCTAGGCTGAATTCGACTACAAAATATTGTAAGACGGAAGACAATGTTGATTAATCATAGTAGATTTGTAGAGTGTGGGTTAGGAAAACTGACAAATCACTTCAGGGTTATAAAAGGTGTCAGGTGAGTGAGTGGCTAGTACAAAGTGGTCTGTGTTAAACAGGAGATAGTAAGACTGCAATGGGAGGTTCATAATGCGATAACGAATATGTGAAATGAAACAGGTGGAGGCCTTTATTGTAACGACAACAAATATTATATTTTGTAATTGTAAGAACCTGAAGAGAAATTATTGAAAAGACTATTCTTCGTTCAGATTGAATTCTATCAGTAACATGTTTGCAGTGTGGCATGAGTTCCTCAAAGAATGAAGATACACCTTACTGATGAGTGCTAACAAGCACGAAACCTAGGCTGAAGACTTCCTGTCGATTGCTTCCAACCATCTTACATCAGATAATCCCTATTGTATGATCCTTAAATGTTTGTTAACTTAAATCTTGATCGTACATGAACTCATTAAAAACGTCTGCCTAAAATAAACTCTGTTAGATAGTGAATTTTATAAACATCATGAGTACAATGGATGGTATGAATACATTTCAGTGATATATTCTGATATATTATTTTAAACAGAAAAATAACAATATTGAGCTCTAACAAAATGATTCATTGATGTTTTATGATGAAGAGTAATCAATAAGTTAGAATACAATGAATAAAAATCAATTTTTCGTAACTTAAGAATGAAAAGGTCAAGTTCATATAAATACAAGATGTTTTTATAGTTGTTTTAATGTGATAGATAAATGAATGGAATAAATTTCTGCTCGTCGGTCACTTAGAGAAGTTGATAATGATGAAGTTAAACTATAGGCAGAAGGATAAGAAGAACATTTTTATTTAGCGGTAGTCTAATAGAATGCTAGATAGAATATGAGCAGTTGGTACAATTTTACCATTACTTTTGGCATTGTTAATATGAATGCCAGCCAGATAACATGTACTATTTTAATGGTCAAAAGTCTATGAAGTTAATGTAATCAGTTTAGTATGAAAAAAAACTTTTGTTAGATGTCACGAGTCAGTCGGTAAAAAAGTTCTGCCTGTCCATTCTAATAACTCATACAAAAAACGACAGTTCATTTAAGTATACAGCACTAACATTTCACATAGCTTGACTAAATGCAATGCATTCGTAATCGACATATATGTGGATCAACTCATATACCACTAGATGTCTGGAATAATTACTATTTTTAGCCAGTAATTTATATGCATACTTCCGTTTTCAGTCATTTGTGTTCCAGTATATCATATTCATTAAAAAAAATTAATTTTAGAGAAAAGATTATTTAAATTCGCAATTAAAATAGGTATAGTATGACTATAGTAACAATTAGCATAAATAATTTTTAACAGCTTATTCAAAAGATGATGGGTCCAGTCCCAGTGGCTGAATGGTATACGAGCTTGCCTTGTAATCAGAAGGCTCAGGCTTTAAACTCCGGTTGGTGCGTACTGAAGAGGAGTTCCAAACTAGGACGAAACAGCTCTATAGTACTCTCAGGTTTTCCAGTGGTTGTCTAACTGATATCACCTCGTGATTAATCCTGTAATATCATCTGACTGATGGTGGCCAGCAGTGAAACTCAGGATTCGTACTTCCTATGACTTGGGAACTCACCACCTGGATTTATACTTGCATCCTGAGTGAGTGATGATGTTCCCGGTGAAATTTGAACCAAGAACACATTGTTGCAAACTTCACCATAAACAGAATGGCATCGCGTTCACCTTCATATATCGTCAAGGAGTTCGTACAAGGAACTTTATTAAACATCTTTTTAATTTTCATGCAGCAATCAAACTGAATTGACCGAGTATACAGATAAGAACGATATATGGATTATTCATTAAAATTTATTGTTTGCTTTTGAAAAATAACGAGGTAAAACAGTTAACTTTAACCGCTTTTTTAATGAACTCACTGTTTTTATCACAAACGTATTGTCTACTTCCAATTCTTCCCTCTGTGTCAATTTTTTGCTGATCATTTTCAAGCTGTTTTGTACGCAGTTTTAAATCATTGTAAAGATAAAAAAATAAAAATAATAACAACAGTAGTAATAATAATAATCTTTACTAATAGTGTATCTACAGATAACGTAAAACAGATGCCACTTATTATAATTTAGAAGAACTGTACTTCATCTTATCGCATATATTTACATTTATTCACTAAAATGTTTATTAATTTGCTAAATAAGAAATTGTATTCAAAAGAAAGGTAAAATATCCTTTTGTAGCTTAATGCAATCCTTTTGATAAAAAAAACGCATTTAAATAAAGAGAAACTGGGACGCAGTACGCATCGATGACCCAACCAAGGATCGAACCCAGTACTTTCAGCTTACGAGGTAAACTCCCTGACTGTGCAGTCACTGGGACAAAATCCATTGGCCCATGAATTTTAACTTCTAACCATTCTTGACTTTTAGCTGTTTCATAAGCCATTGTCGTAGATCAGTATTTCTCCCGACACCCACCAGTTACGACGTTTTACTAAGACTTCAGAAAGCTGAGTCCTGTAGTCAGTCACTGGTGAGCATCAGCTGTCCAGTACTCCCTGGTTTCCAGTAATTCTCTAACCTGTATCATTCTGTGATCAAGGCTGAAAGAGAATAATCCATATTTATCATCTACTTTATTCTGCTGCTGACTGCTTAATAGATAACTTGAAATCCAGTGGTATTAAGAACTAAAATATATGCTTAAGTTGCCACTTTTACTTGGGATGATTCTTAAAGATTAAAATAATGAGTACAGTCCTTTTTCTTTTTCTCTGACGTATATACTGATATGTGTAGGCTTTCATTTAATGTATGCAAATAAATTACAGTTTTTTTCTCACTTTCTGGCGGCCCGTTTAAATCACTGGGCTACCTACATTTCCATCCTGTATAATGCACAATCTCTTCTCCATCTCTCATTGTTCTAGTCATCTAATTGTGTTTTTGAATAGCTACATGAACTGATATGCAGTTTTAGTTTACTGTAATTCAGAGCACTTCTCAAACAGAAATGAGGAAAAATTATCGTGGAGATTACTTCAAATGGAAGAACAAGGCATCACACAATGTACTACCAAATGGCACTTTACTTGAAGATCCTATATGAAGAGTAGATATTTTGCAATTTAAATACACTGAAAATTCTGTGCTGTGTCAACATATTGTCTAGAATGTCAATGTCTTAATACCCGACAAGTAAATTCTATTTCTTTCTGTCTCTTCATTAGTATTACTTTGTCTTTACAATTGTAATATTTTACATTATCAACTTTCAAGTTCTCTACCCCTACCCGATTTAATTTCTACACTTCATTACCACTGTTACTGACTTGACCAACGCTCAATTACTAGTCATTAATGTTACGTCATCCAGTTTATTTGCTCAATTTTAGTCTTAATTTAAATGGCATTATTCTCTACCCTACCTCTACTTAGTCTCTACCTGTAATTACCTCTGTTGCTATCCTGACCTAAGTTGAAACATTTTAGTCAATTGTATTACGTCATCTAACTTACTAACTCAATTTTACTTTAGTTGATGTCTAATTAACCTTGTTTCTATATTAGACCATTCTTGTATTACCTGATTAATTATCTAAACTTGACAAACCTCATGTACACACACAAAAAAAAATTGTGTATAAATGCGATTGTACAGCTATGTGAAGGAATTCGCCGAAAAGAGTCTCTTCGCTGAACGTCTTCTATTTTTCATATGATTCAGTGGGGATTTTTAAGCTAGAATAAAACTGTTATTTTTATTATATCACTTTCCTGTATAACCTATTAAATAAATAAGTTAAGTGTGCGTCGGTGGCACAGTGGTTAGGACTCTCGCCGACCATGCACATGGTCCGGGGTTCGATCTCCTGCCAGCGCACACCCGATATCTATGGTCAGCCTGAAATTTGGGCTACCGATATCCATGCTGAAAATTCCATACTTGTACTGAAAATACGGTGTGGAATCAAGCTGTAATCAAAATAAAATAAAAATAAAAAAATAAAATAAAAAATTAAAAATTAAAATCACCGTCTTTTCAATAAAATTAAAAGTGAGATTATCTGAGATAACCTGAAGTTGGCAGGCTGTTACTCATGTAATGCGTAATGTTTGCAGGTGAAATCAAACTCTAGGCTGCAGTTGGAATTCGAACCAACGATCTCCGAATCGCTAGTTCGATGCTGTACTATCTGGATGGTTAGTGTAATGATAAACATAGTGTAAGGTATGACCCATTCAGATGACAGTTGGATACCACCGGTCTTACTGCAGCGAAGTGATAACCTGTTTAGAAGTTGGGTCTTTTAGCTCATGTGATAGAGTGAGGACCAGTTATAAATTACATAATGACATAGTTCCTAAGTTTCAACCAAATAGTAACTACTTTACTTTGGATGAAACCCAGAAAAAACAGCCCACGGTGATGTGAATGTTGTGTATCTAAATATGTTAACAATTAGGAGTGCAAATTTTGGGAAACAACAATAACTGCCGTCATTCAAGATTTCCGTCACTATGTTTAAACATCCAACTGATCAATTATTAATACTTTTACAAATATTACTGAGGAAAGCAGGTAAGTAAGTATTTCAAGGGAGTTTACACTACACTAAAAAGGGATGAATCACCTTTAATAACAAGCAGTACGCAATAAAAAAACTCGCCTATTTACTACATTAAATCCGATTTTAATTTCATACAAGAATGAAGTCACTAAACTTGCTATACAAAGAATATATATAGTAATATAAAGTGGAATGGTATATTCAATTATAGATTGAAGCAATTCAGATTTATATTTACGATAATATTGTTTTTAATACTAAGTGATAATAATACAAATAACTTAAGTGACTCATTGCAATACCTAGTCAGATATTGAAGTTATGTGCTTGGAAATGAGAAAATAGAGGAAAAATCAGCGAGGTTTAGAAATAAGCAGAAACAATTACTTTGGTGGTCCTACTTTAAAATTATTATTCTGTTATCGAGACACGAACCTGGTACATTATGGGCACCAAGAAATATGCCCCACAAAACCTCATATTTTGTGCAAGGGCTGGGATACTGCTCAGATGCCCAAACAGATACAAGTGTCTGTCTTAAGGGGCCACCCATGATCCTCTGGATAGAAATCTGATCCACGCGGTGGTGAAGCAGTATCAGGGGCTACTTTCCCACAGTTGTCGATGACCGAAACGGGTTCATACACCATTCGGTCCTTTAGGATTCTGCAGTCCATGTAAACTAAAGGTTTGGGATTACGTATTCTCCTCTCTTTTTCGCTGACCAACATGTCCAACAGTCTGCCGGACACAAATAGGCTGTTCTCTTTTTTTTATAGAAAACCAGTAACTCATATGAAGATAATTTATATAACAATCTGATATTACTTCAAGAGGCCACTGAAAACCAGAAAACAATAAAAGCCATCATTCACTTTTTTTCATCTGCCCATCCACCCACGTGCACACATTTTCATAGATTCAAACTAAAGAATTATATGTCTCAAAAGCAGAATGTAGATTTACAGTCCCTTTGCCTGCAGCACCATAATTTACATGTTTTTTCCATCCAATTCTCATATTGGTTAGTTCACTCAAGTGAATACAGTTCATTTATCATATTGGTTTGTACTCTATTCTCCCTTAATTCAGTACCACTTTATATTTGAATTTATGTCAGGAAAATGTATGAACGTAAGATTTTTATCAGGTTCAAAATATTTCATGAAAATTAAAATTCATGTTGTGCGTCGGTGGCACAGCGGTTAGGACGCTCGCCGACCATGCACATGGTCCGGGATTCGATCCCCGTCCGCCAACGCACTCCTTTACCTCGCTAAGTCAGTAATAGAACTGCCAAAGAGGGAAGGTTGGGCGTGAGGCTAGCAACTCCATCCTGTAAAAATAAACACTGCTACAGAAACTTCAAGCTACTAGCTTGAAGCCCTATGTTCCACTGGGAACGTGAAGGAATAAAAAAAATTCAAAGATAAAAATGACAAAATCCTACAATGTCTTTACATATATATCAAAATAATCATTTATTTCTGGAGCTAAAATGAACTATATACTAGGTAGGTGATTTTAATCATTAATTTTAGAGAAGCTAAATATGTATGTCTATTTTAAAAGTTCACCTGAAAGTATTTCAAGTATAAAAATGTAATTATCAATTATATTAGAAAGATTAATGTTGATTTCTGCAGTTTGAACATCATACTAAGTATCTGCATGTGTTATATCAAGCAGTCCGCATAGAACAACTGCAAGCCAAATACAAAATTTAAGATAGATTGTATTAAAAGCATGAACTTGTTAAATGTCAAGCAGAATAAAATATTTTAGAAAAAAAATTTAAGTTTTCATATATGATCACCTTAAGGAAGCTGTTTTATTTTTTTTCAGAATCGCATTAAAACAAGTCACTACATGTTTAGTAAATTAACAGAATAAGTCAAGATTAGATGACTCTTTCTACGGTGACGTTGAATTCAAGCAGTATACTGATGTGTTAGAAAATATAAGCAGATTGTGTCAATAAGTAATCTGGTTTGATTTGATTTATTCAAAAGTAAAAGTGATCTGCCTATGACATTGTTTCATAGAGTAGGAAAAACCTATTTTAGTAAAGTAGGTGAAGTTGAATTTAATGGGTGGATGGCGACTAGCAGTGGAATCCAGGATGCGCATTTCGTCCCATTTGAGATTCGTCAGCTAATGGATGTACCTGCATTCCCCAGTCAGTGATGGTGTTCGCACCGAAACTGGAACCTAGTGCAAGTAGTTTCAAACACCATTATCCACTAGACCACATGCCCAGACATCGTCGAAGCATCTGCACAAGAAGCCGACATGTCAACCTGAGACCGAGCACTTCGGTCTAATCAATCGATGGGAAAATCTAAAATTCAATTAAATAGCTGAAGTTGAGTTCAACACGAAATCCTTTTTGAAGCAAATATATTTATCAAGGGGAATTTAT